CACACAAGACAGGTTTACAGTAAGTTAGGCCATCAGCTCTTTTATATGAACATTTTCAAAGCCACATGAAGTTGCTTTAAAGATTTATGTCTTGGTTGCCAAGGCAACAGTTGTGGTTACACACCTTTAGCAGTTACTCTGTCAGTAATACAAGAGAATCCACATTAGAGAGAAGCTGGTTATAAATGGTGTTCAAATTGAGGTTAATTTGAAATAGATCACTCAAAAAATTTAAATACAATCTGGTTTCTGTTCATTGATTTAACAGTCCCTTCCGATTGTTAATGTCATACATAAGTAGATATCTTTTTTTAATTTATTTTGAGCACTAATAATGTGTATATTTTTCTTGTATTGTATTAGTTATTGTTTCATTTTAACTTCATTTATTTTGATGGATACTGTTTGTTATATTCTAGTTCTTTTTACTTTTGCTTTGTTTCTTTCTTTCTTTGCAGTATTCATCCACACCATCATATCTGTGGTAGAAAGTGCAATATGACTGTTCTGTCACATCTATCAAGAATGGACTTACTCTCACCATGCATGCAATTGTTAAACTGTATTTTTCTTTTCTTTGTCATTGTTGTTTGTACTGTTAATAAAGTTTACAAAACTAAATATAAATTCAAGTAGAGCGACTCATGTATCTGTTGGCAACCAAACAAACTGTGGCCTGTAAGGACAAATATAAGTACATAAGAAAACAGCTAATAACACATTACCTACATACCGAACTTTAAATCAAATGTTATGTCTTCTGCATCACGTCTTCTACCATCTCCTTTCAATCCATTGTATGTGAGTAAGCAATTTGAATGCCATGCAGGAATGGCGGACTCCACCAATAACAAAAATGACAGTGCTGAGAGGAAATTACAGAAAGCAAACATTTTGCTTTGCTTTTGCTGAAAAATCTAAAATTATAAATAGAATCAACAATAGGGTTTGTTATAATGAAAATCTTCAGTAATGCAAACATCATGTATTGATACATTGATATACTGACTGCAATCAACACTATGAATGGATATTGTTTGTTTGTATTGTATAATGTCTGATTATATTACCATGTCATGCTGTGATTTGCACCAATAACAAAATTCCGAAAAGGTCAAAACACATACACAAGAGTACAAGCGTACACTTATAGAGCTTTTGGTGCTGTGTAGATGAGCTGCATCTGGCTGACAGAGCTAATTGAAGTTGGATCTCATCAGACATTGGCCGCTGGATCGCCAGCAGGTTGGATAACCTGCATCTGCTATGAGAGAGCTCAGCTACTAGCCAACAAGAGGCAGAAAGGCTTCATCAAAATCTTTCCTTCACTCTAGTCCATACATAATACATACACACACACACACACACACACAACACACACACACACACACACACACACAACACACACAAGCAAAAAGCATAATCCAGCAGGCTGAGAAGGATTGGTACCGAACATTGAAGAAGGTAAAGTAAGAATAAAC